AGACATATACATGGCCAACAGGGGGCGCCTGGGTGGCTCAGTCGGTTGAGCGTCTCGTCTGCCTTCAGCTCAGGTCATGGTCCCAGGGTCCTGGGATCGAGCCCCACATCGGGCTCCCTGCTCAGAGGGGAGCCTGACTCTCCCTCTCCCTTTGCTACTCTTCCTGCTTGGCCTCTCCCATTCTCTCTCAAATAAATAAAATGTTAAAAAAAAAAAAAAAAAGATAAATGGCCAATAGGTACATGAAAAGATGCTCAATATCACTAATCATCAGGGAAATGCAAATCAAAATCACAGATATTACCTCACACCTGTTAGAAGGGCTATTATCCTCAAGAGAATAAGAGATAAGTATTGGTGAGGATGTGGAGAAAAGGGAACCTTTGTGTACTGCTGGTGGGAATGCAAACTGGTACAGCCAGTATGGAAAACAGTATGGAGTTTCCTCAAAAAATGAAAATCCAGCAATCCCACTTCTGGGTATATATCCAAAGGAATGAAATTAGGATCTCCAAGAGCTATATGCACTCCCATGTTAATTGCAACATTATTCACAATAGCTAAGCTATGGAAACACTCGAAGTGTCCTTCTGTGGATGGATAGATAAGGAAAATGTGGTGTCCACACACACACACACACACACACACACAGTGGAATATTATTCAGCTATGAGAAAGAAGGAAATTCTGCCATTTGCAGCAACACGGATGGACCTTGAGGACATTATGCTAAGTGAAATAAGAGAGAAGATGCACACTGTACGATATCACTTAAATGTGGAATCTTAAAAAATTCAAATATTAAAAACAGAAAGGAGAAACATGGTTGCCAGAGGGTGGAGGAAATGGGGAGATGTTGGTCAAAGGATTCAAACTTCCAGTTGTAAGTTCTGGGCATCTTACGTGCAGCATGGTAATTATAGTTAACAATACTGTATTATATACTTGAAAGCTGCTTTCAAGGATACTTGGAAGTTAAATGATCTCAGCACAAAAAAGAGATGGTAATTATATGAGGTGTTAACCCTACTATGGTAATCATCTCAAAATACATGAGTATATCAGAACAACACATTGTACACTTTACGTGTATACAATATTATATGTCAATTATATCTCATAAAGCTGGAAAAAAAGAAAAAGCATCCAGATTGCAAAGGAAGAAGTAAAACTATCTCAGTTCACAGATGACATGATATTATTCATAGGAAATCCTAAAAATAATAGAATTTTGAAAAAACTAAAGCTAATAAATTTAGCAAAGTTGCAAAACACAAGATCACCACATAAAAATCAGTTACATTTCTATACTATTAGCAATGAGCAATCCGAAAATGTAATTAGGAAAGCAGTTCCATTTACAATAGCATCAAAAAGAATAGAATAGTTATGAATAATTTTAACCAAGGAGGTGTAAGACTTACACACTGAAAACTGCAAAACATTGTTGAAATAGTTGAAGAAGACTTAAATGAAAGGAAAGACCTTCTGTGTTCATGGATTAGAAGACTTAACATTGTTAAGATGGCAGTATTTCCCTTGGGGGCGCCTGGGTCGCTCAGTTGTTAAGCATCTGCCTTCGGCTCAGGTCATGATCCCAGGGTCCTGGGATCAAGCCCTGCATTGGGCTCTCTGCTCCGCTGGAAGCCTGCGTCTCATTCTCCCACTCCTCCTGCTTGTGTTCCTGCTCTCGCTATCTCTCTCTGTCAAATAAATAAATAAAATCTTAAAAAAATAAAAAAATAAAAAAAATAAAGATGGCAATATTCCCCAACTTGTTTTCCAGATTCACTGCAATACCTATTAAAATTACAGTCTCCTTTTTTGCAGAAATGAGCAAGCTGATACGAAAATTCACATATGGAATTGCAGAGGATCTTAAACAGCCAAAACAATCTTGAAAAAGATCAAGAGTAGAGGAGTCACACTTCCTGATTTCAAAATTTACGGCAAAGCAATCAAGTGTGATATTGAAATAGGGGTAGATATATCAGTCGGTGGAACAGAATTGGGAGTCCAGAAATAAACCCATATGTCAGTTGATTTTCAATAAGGGTACCAAGAAACTATTCAGTGGGGGAAAGAATAGTCTCTTCACATCGGGTGCTGGGACCACAACTGGATATCCACATGCTAAATAAAGAATGAAGTTGGACCCCAACCTCACACCAAATACAACAGAGAAGTCAAATTGGATCAGATACCTAAATGTAAGGGCTAAAACTATACAACTCTTAGAAGGAAACGCTTGGAGAGTTTAGCTGTACAATTACTGCTCTCATAGCACTTCTGTGACATGTATGGTGGACTTCAGTGACTGGCTGCTCCCGTGGGTCAAGATTATCTTTCATCAGTCTGTCTCTCATGCTTTGCATGGAGTTGGTGCTCAGTAGAGTCGGCTGACCAAGCGAATGGAAGAGACAGTGACAGTGTCAGCCATACCGAGGTTTGCCAAAAAGATTTTAAATGGTCAGAAACTACTTCGGGTGTCTTTGTTGTGTGCTCCAGTCTGCAAGTACAGGTTTCCTCTCCGGGCCTTTCCTTTCTCCTTTCATTTCTCCAAAATGGAGTTTAGGGGCCATGTGAAGAGGTTCTCCCCAGCAATAGGTAACTGCTATTTGTACATCTGATAATTTGGGCATGTAGCCAGCATCTTTAAATTTGACTCTGCTACTGCTGCCAGTATGGATATGTAGCCTGTTTTTAAAAATTGTATTAAGCTCATTCTTAATTGTGGAATATTTGGACCTTGAAGTATATAGGTACAGCCTCAGTTTGAACACCTCTAATGACATGGAGCTCAGTATCTCCCAAGGCAGCTATCCGTGAACTGCTCTAATGAAAGTTATAAAGTTCTTTCTTATGTTGATCAGAAAATCTTTTTCTCTAAGTGTCTACTGTTTCTCCAAGGAATGATGCCAAACAAGTCATACATTTGAAATAGTAAGGCTTTCTCTTTCAGCCCTATGTTGATTCCTCCTGACCCAAAGTATATGTTGTTCACGCCAGCATTTTAATCTGTCATCCAGTTTACTTCTGGGTGGTTTACTACACTGACAGTTTGTGTGAGTTCTGGAAATGCAAATGAATTTCAGTACTATTCCAGGTAAAATACAAACCAAGCTGATTTTTAAGCAGCTGCCTTTAGAGAGTGATGTTGAAGTTTCTGAACTATTCCAAAATACATTTCCCACTAGATAGTACAATGCTCACATTATTTGCTTAGGTTCAGTGTTGAGTTTTCTTGGTCAAGTTTAGACATATGATGCAGGTTGGCCACCGTATTCTCCTGTTGATACTGGGGCATAGATTAGATCAGCAGACTGGAACCATATAGCAAAGTGATGTGGTCAGGAGACATAGGATGAGAGGGTTTTGAATGGGAAAAATAGCACAGAAATATTGGATTAGAAGCCACTGTGGGCAGATAGGACCGGCCTTTGCTAGAGATGTGGGGAGAGGAGAGACACCCTGGAAATGCACCTTGTTTCCTCCTTTGTAAGTTTTCTGAGCTAATCCTGGCATAGTGAAACTTTAAAAAAAGTAAATCTTGGGGCGCCTGGGTGGCTCGGTCAGTTAAGCATCTGCCTTCAGCTCAGGTTGTGATCCCAGAGTCCTGGGATCGAGCCCCGCATCGGGCTCTCTGCTCAGCAGGGAGTCTGCTTCTCCCTCTGCCTGTCACTCTGCCTACTTGTGCGCACACTCTCTCTCTCTGTCAAATAAATAAATAAAATCCTTAAAAAATAAAAATTTAAAAAAAAAGTAAATCTTTTGCTACAAAAGAGTAGCTATGATGATGTATTTCATTCTAAAGCTAAATAGAATCATTCAAGGAAATAATTTCTGCTTGGGATCATCCGCATCCACCTTGACTTCTGGCAAATTCTTATTTACCCTTCAAACTACATGTGCCACAGGGAGGCTTTTCCAACCCTGCTCTCACTCCATCCCAGGTAATTCATAACTCCCTCTTTTATGCCATACTGTCTCCTAGACATACTTTTTTGTTATTGTACCATTTCACTGTATTATATTGAATTATTTATTTGTCTGCCCCACTGGACTCTGATTCCTTGAAGACCCTAAACTACGTCTCATTTTTCTCCATATTGCCAGTGCCCAGATGGTGCTCCTCAGTAACTGGCATATAGTAAGTGTGTGATAAATGCTTGTTGAATAGAGTTGCAGCAAAGGTAAAGTAACAGCTGTACACATTGGTAAAAGCATTATTCTCACTGGACGTGTATTAGGCACAAATTGGAGAGTAGGAAACAAAGGTGAATAATAAGATAATCACAAATTCAAAAAAAAAAATTCCTACAGACCCCCTTGTCAATGGGGTAGGTAACAGTCACCTGCATATAATTCTTACACAGTAAGATTAATGCTATCATATGGGTACTGTGGGTTTGGATTGGGTTATAAAGTTATAATGTTGCATGCATAAACAAAAAAACCATGTGTTCCTGAAATCTCTTAAATTACCAGGATTTAGGCCTTTGGAAACTCAAATGTAATGAGTTAAGGAAGAGACTGCATTTAATTTTGACTCCCTACATAAAAATTGAGTGCACTGCTATGTATTTCGGAAGTCCTTTTGTTTCATGGCTGCCTTAGATTGCTTGAGGAGACATTTGGGCCTAATAAAAGGAAAAAATTTGTTGTTTGTAAAGGGGATTTTAACACTGGATCCAACCTATTAAAGAAGGTGAATTATCCCTACATCTCTCTAAGCATGAGTGAAACAGCCATTGGCCTTTTATCATTTAAGCAGGGTCCAGTCCAAATGTCCTCTCTGGAGCACTTTTCCTCTTTTGACAGGATTTGTTCTTAGAACGTGTTTTGTTAATAAACTGATTCATTTCCTATTGTAGCTGCCCAGGGGAATCGTCTTTCTTGGCAGGTGGCTTTGAAAGTACAGAAGAGATTGTCATTCTTTTTCCTTAGTTGGTATATGGGCTACTTTTGACTCTTGGACTTGTGTTTACTTATTTATTTAGGAACCTAAATTCCAAGGTGGAAAGGAGTCAGAGCTGCAGTGACACTGCTCAAGACAGAGTGAAGAGCAGACTCAGAGCAGCCCCGACCAGCAAAACCAAGGTACACCTCAGACACGGGCTTCTGGAGCCCTCCGCGCCCATCTGGTGGCTCCTTGCACACGGCCATAAAAGGAACTATTCCAGATGGGCAGAGGCACAGTGGGTCCGAGGCATTCTAATTATGTTGGAGAAGTTTGCAAATAGATGTGAAGGAAGAGAGTTTGAATTAGTAGCGAAGGGTGGAATGAGGACCAGTAGAAGAACTTCTTTGAAAGTTCTAGATGAGTTTTTTTTCCCCTATAGGTTTTCTTTTCCTTTCCTTTCCTTTTTTTCTTTTCCCTTCTGTTCCCTTCCTATTCTTTCTTTTTCTTTTAAAATTAAATTCAGTTAATTAACATGTAGTGTGTTATTAGTTTCAGAGGTAGAGTTCAGTGATTTATCAGTCTTATTCCCTATAGGTTTTCAGTTTTATTAATTGTTTCAGGTGTGTAGGAATTTCTGCAGATGGTGTGCATTCTAGGTTAGGGATTTTCCCATTTCTTAGGCTCCCATCACCCTTGATCCCTTTTCTTAGCCTTCCCCTGCTATCCTTCTACCATCTTGAAGGAACTGTGAAGAGAAAAAAATATGTCTATATGTATGTCTATAGAATCTTTTTAACCTCTCTTAGGTTACGGCTATGGCCCCAGCCTCCAACCCCATCATCGGCGTCCTCCTGTCCACCCAGAACAACCGTTGCCTCTCAGCCCCTGACTTAACGGTCGAAAAACGTCTCCCCTTCAGCTCCCTCTCATCCTTGGCTTCCCTGCATAAGCCAGAACGCTCCATCAGTCCGGAGAGCAACGACAGCATCTCCGAGGAACTAAACCATTTCAAGCCCATTGTCTGCTCACCGTGTACTCCTCCCAAGAGACTCCCCGATGGCCGAGTGCTCAGTCCCCTCATCATCAAATCAACACCCCGCAACCTCAGCAGAAGCCTGCAGAAGCAGACTTCTTACGAGGCTAGTCCCAGGATCCTCAAAAAGTGGGAACAGATCTTTCAGGAGCGGCAGATCAAAAAGACCCTTTCGAAAGCCACCCTCACCTCCCTGGCTCCAGAAACAGCGGAAGACTTAGTAGTGTCCGAGGTGACCCATTCTAGCAAGGAAAAGCCACCTCTGGCTTTACAGACAAGACTGGCGGGGGGTCAGGCCCTCTCTGAGTGGGCCGGACCCACCCCCACCGACCTCGATTATGTCCCCTCCATTAGCCAAACTAAAGGCGAACAGGGCAGCGAGAGTAAAAGGAGCCCTGAGATCCCATCGGAAATGTGCTGCTCTTCAGAACCCCGAGGGGGAGCCAGTGGGACTTCTTCGGAGAAGGAGCAGGAGGAAGGGCCGGGACGCACCCCTGAGGCCAAGTTAGACAAAACCTGTATGAGCACAACCGTGAACATCCCAGTGGCTAATTCAGTGCTGCCCCAAAATAGTGTTCTGGGCGGGGCCCTCAAAACGAAGAAGCAGCTGAAGACGGCGAATCATTTTGATCTGCCCAATGGTGTGCTGGCGGACAGCCTAGGTGAGGAGCCCCTTCCTTCCTTGCGCCGGGGCCGGAAAAGGCACTGTAAGACCAAGCACTTGGAACAAAACGGCTCCCTTAAGAAGCTGCGGCAAAGCGGTGGGGAGGCGGGCCCGGCCGCCCGGGCCCTGGGCCTGCGGGAGATGGAGCAGAAGCTGCAGCAGGAGGAGGAGGACCGGCGGCTGGCCCTGCAGCTGCAGCGCATGTTCGACAACGAGAGGCGGACCGGGAGTCGGCGGAAAGGGAGCGTGGATCAGTATCTCCTAAGGTCCAGCAACGTGGCCGGGGCCAAGTAGCGCCCCAGGAACATGTGGCCTGTTTTTAAGAGGTCTGTGGGCCTGATCATTTATCCTGAAGAGCTGAGTGTTCTCACTTTGGGTTTCTTTTCATGGCAAAACACTGTCTGCTATGGTTCTGAGAGGTTCCAGGGCCTTTGTGGTCTCTGTCCAAGGGCACTATGTCTCTGCCTCCCGGTGACCACGGCCAGAAGCACTCCTCACCCCTAAGTGACCCACCCCTGAGGGCTTCTGGGCCAAATCTGGCAACACCCACTTGGAACGAGATTCAGGAGCACAGGGGCCAGAGTTAGAGATGGTAGAGGAGACAGGGGATACCTTCTGAAACTGACAGACCTCCTGACTTCTTTCAACAGGGTCTTATTTTAAATCAGCCTTGCAGATAAAAGGGAGTTCCCTCTTTCTCAGAGAAGTGGGTCAGTGTCGCTCTTTGGCAGATCCAAGAAGATCATGTTGCCCCTTCTCCTTCCCTGTGCCACAAGTAAATATACCTAATGAAATCAGTTGAGTTTACCGTCCTACAAAAGTTAATTTACCTTCCCTGTGTAAAAAGTAACATCGGATTAATGCGCTGTCTAGTCGACAGACCAACTTCACGGTCAGTGTTCAGTTTGGTCTTCCCAGGAGCGCTAACACGTAAGTGGTTATCAGCGCCGTTTTCGATGATGATGGAACTGCAGGGCGGACGTTCAGGTCCCGTCATTCACTAAGTGGCGTAGCCCAGACTGACTGTCGGGGCTCCTGACAACAGATCCCAGAGATTTTCCACACTAGCAGGTTGAACAGGTTGCCGTAATGGACAGCAGCCCAAGGGCATGCCACGCACGGGAGCCCAGGGAAAGCTGGCTGAGCATTTGAATACTGATTGTGTAAAATCCATAGGCAGATAATTGAGATCGATGGGAACTATATAAATAAATACTATGCAGTTATCCACCCTGCTCCCCGCCCCCACCACAGTTTACAGCCTTTTGTTTTCTGGGGGGTGGAGGGGGCTTCCGCCCTGTGTGACAGATTATAGCTGAACTTCGTTATTACTCTCCACATGTCCAAGGGTTATCTGCAACGTTGATCTAAAATCCCAAAAATTTGCCCAGAAGTCAGGCAAGAGCAATGCTGAAACTCCATACTATGGAAACAAGGTATCTAGCTGGATGCAGCTGGTAAATTCAGTCCCATGGACCTTTGGGGTTTATTTTCCTTAGGAGCTGACACCATGTGTCTTTTGCATCCCTGGTGGTGCTTGGTGCTTCTGCCCGTCTGGGCTCATTGGGAATAGGGATTAAGAGATGATTTTAGGGAATCTCAGATGGGCTGGCATTCCCTGTGCATGTACGAGCTGTTACTATAAAGTCATGTGACTGGCATTTCAACAAAGGTTTTAGAGCTTATGTATCCCAGTGTACGTTGTCCCCCTTGAGTGACTCCAGCAGGATACTGCATAGCTTTTCCAATGATGTTGCCGTTGGCAAAAACATTTCTGGAACTGTCCTCAACGTCTAGAAACATCTAGAAATATAAACTCCTAAAATGTTAGAATTGGAAGGGACCTTAATGGTCATCTTTTCCAACCTCCTCCTCTTACTAAGGCAGAAACTAAGACCCAGAACGGTGACTCACCTGATCACTAGGGATTTACCAGATCACCTTTTGATTCCTCTCAGGAGAATTTTGCCCCCTCTTCTCGGGGCAGATCTTTACTCTTTTGTGGTTACAGGAGGGAGAATTTTAAGTCTGAAACTAGTCAGAAGCTGTTTGAAGCCTCTAGAAGAGAAGGTCGGGCCAGAGGGCTTCAGAGTTACAAACGAGTTGTAGCTGTCAAGCAGTCGGAGTCATTTCCTCATGCTGCTCAGGAACAGCTCCCGGGGAGAAGTTCCAGAGATGTCGTAAGCATTTTGGTCCTCACTGAGATGTGTGGAACCTCCTCGGTGACTGCTTTGGTGGGAGGGTCCCTCACTTGAATGTATGTGTTCTGTGTTCTGTGTGTCTGTGTGCGTGCACACATGCAGATGTGTGTTTAAAACACATGCATCCGTCCCATTCCTCTGTATTCACACCACTTCGGTTCCAGGCCCTGCCAGCCACACAGGCCTCCACAGGCTGCTGGACGGTCGGTCCCCAGGATAGCAGAGCTGGTGCTGGTCTGCGGAGGAAGGGGAGGGTGACTCACTGAAGGCCCTTAGAGAAAGCCTCAGTTCCTGCCATTTCCTAGAGCTGCTCGTTGGTCTGAGCGAACATCCCTGGGAGGCTCATCCGCTCGGTGGTAGCAAAGAAGCTTCTTTTTTCCACTTGCCGCCTTTTGTCTAGGTCTCCAGTCATTTGAAAAACACGTTTCAGTTGGAACTGGTTTTTGGTTTTGGAGAAAAGATAAATATTTTTAATAGAAAAAGATATATATTTTAAATATTTCCCCGAAGTCATACTTTTGTTTTAAGGAGTTGCATAGCAGTAGCAAGGAATTTTAGGTTCAGGTGCAGAGTGCAAAGCTCCCTCCTGTGAAGTGAGTATTGCAAACGCCAGATCCAGCTTGCTGACTTTCCCCCTTGCACCTCCTGTTGTGTCTAGAGGGGCCCTGACAGTTGTTCTGCAGACTTCCGGCCGAGCAGTAGTCCTTGCTGTGGAGGCAAAGCAGTTTAGGTTAAGGAGCGACAGGGCTTACCCTCTCATCTGCTTGGCTTTGGAGGAGGAAAAAACCACTAAGGTATTATCTGTATTTTAAAATGCTTCCCGTACTTAACTAACACCTGAACACTTTCTCCTTCTGAAAAACGTCTGTGTCCTGTTGCTTGCTTGCTTGTGAAGTTTATCACAAATGGTGTTGTTGACATGAATTATTTGGAGAAAGAGAAAGACAGGAAGGGAAAACAGAGTGATGGGGAGGGTTGGTGAGGGAGAACGAGAGAGCCGCTATTTCACAAAACAGACATTTCTCACGAATCACTGGAATCTGATTCACCATACAAATTTCCCATGTCCTACGAGCTCTGCTCCTTGTGTATATGCATTCTGTGTGTGTGGTTTTTGTTTTTGTTTTTTTTTTATTAAAGGGGAAGTTAGGAGAAGTTGGAGGATGAAGGTCATTCTGTGGTGCCCTGAGAAGAGGGCTCTCAGCCCTTTTCCATAGAGTGGGGAAGACCTTTGGCAACATATTCGTGACCTATTGATTGTATCTGCTGGAAGGAGTCATCAGGGCCTGTTGGGTCAGTGTCAAATCAGGGGATTAAGCACCCAGCCCTTGGACCCTTTCATATAATTGCCTCTTTTTAAAAGGTTAATTCATCATGGCTGCAACTTCCCAGGAAAACCTTTTGTAAGTGGCTTCATTTCTTATTTTTTTAATTTAAGTTTTAGATTTTTGTCTGGAGGAAGAACTGGTGATGAATGCCTTCTGGTTTTCTTGGTTTTGGGTGTTTTTTTTGTTTTTGTTTTTGCTCATTTCCCCTAAAAGAAAAATGCCCTTAAGAGATTAAAGCTGCTTAATTAATTGCTGTCTGATTACAAAGTGACAGACTAAGATGGGAAGCTGCCACTGTGCTTGACTGGTGAAGCTGATGACCGAAGGCTGTGCTGTTCACCCTTTCTGTTCCGTTTAACAGACATTCCTGAGCTTCGAACTTGTGCCAACCTTGTACTGGGTCATGGAGATACAGGATGGAAAGGACAGTCCCCGCTCTTGAGGAGCTCAGTCTCTAATGGAATGTATTTGAATGTCTGTGTGGCTGGAGTTCTGCTTCTTCATAGTGACCATCTTGGATGGCCCCATCTAAGATACTGTCCAGCATCTGGCAGGCTGCCTTGAACATCTTAGACCCCTCCCATCAGTATTTCTGAATTTGATTGCAACACTGCTTTCCATTTCCTAAGTAATTTTACCAGAGGAGAATGAATTTTCTCCTCCACTGACACAGGACAATAATCTCTTCAGGAGAGCTTTTACATCAGTGCCAGGAAGTGAGGCAGGGTGTGGATCATTGACATGGGCAGAGGAGGCCCACATCCCAACTCCCTGACCTCCTCACCTCCTTCCCAACCAGACCTCTCACCACAGCTGGTAGCAACTTTTGGATTCCTTTTCCTTTTTTCTGCCTGGCTTTTCACTGAGATGGAAAACCAGCAGGAGAGGAAAGAAAGAAAAATTGAAGGCTGGATTATAATCATAAAATGCTATAGCTCGAAAGGGCATGGAAATCATTCAGATCAAATTTTTCCCACTTGCTGCCCGTTTTTTTCTAAGAAATAAGGAACGTGAGGTCCAGTGTCCTATGCCCTATTTTATACTGTAGTTTCCTAGGATCTAAATGGTCCGTTTAAATTACACACACACACACACACACACACACACAATTTACTAATGAGGACACCCAAATGATACAGGAGGCTTTTTGTTTTAATATTAGCTTTCTCTTTCAAATTTTTTGTTAGAATTAATACCTATATCCCCTGAACACACACCCAGATAGGGAAAACCCCACAATGTGACTAATGTGAATATGGAGTCTTGGGAAGTGATATATTTTTTGATTGGAATAGTCATCATTTTAACCACCAAGGGTTAAAACCCAGCCAGCCCTTCATTTTTCTTTGAAAAATCAAGAACTCCTTAGGGACTTAAATCTTTCTCAGCCAGCCTTTTCCCCATCAACCTATAGAGTGGTCTTTTGGCCTGGTTTTTAGAAGTAAGCATAGTTGCTTATAAATTCTTGTGAATCAGTGACAAAGCAGGTATTTTTTTCAGGGGGGGGATGTCGAGGAGATTCTAGGGAAAGCTGCGCTGAATAGCTTTTCCTCCAAAGATGATACAGAAAATGCATCTTTCACATGCTTGTTATCCACTGTAACTTTCTGAAAAAGATTGTTCTACAGAGAAAAGAGACATAAGCAGAGGTCACGACCAGCTTAGAGATTGGTTAAATTGAAGAAAAAGTGCCAAGACTGAACGTGCACATTGTTCTATGTATGATCAGTATTTTTATTCTTCCTAAGAAAAATATTTACACACTTTGCTTTGTGAGTAAATGCTTCCTTACTGTCTTGTTAATAAGGGTGGCAGGCTCCCTCTGCCTTTTCTGGGGTCTTTTATCAACTAGTTGGACAAAGCCGAGCTAAGGCCAGGCTTATTCGTCTTCTTCCCTCTCACTTAATTGGTAAAAACAGGCAATGCACTCCTCAAAGATCAAGCTGTTAGAGCTCAAGAGTAGCTGTTTGGGCCCTGGGTCTGGAGGGCAGTGGCCAGAGTCTCCCTGGGTGGCCCTGTGCACCCTCCAACTATGCCACCAATGGGAGCAGGGCCCCTTCCTCCGTCAGTGGGTCCAGCCCTTTGCCTGCAGCAGAACACTTAAACTCCTAAGGAGAGAATGGAGAACTACTCGAGGGAAAAAATTATCTTAAATGCCACCTAATGGTTTTGTTTTTGTTGTTTCTCCTGATGTGCTGTTTACTCTCAATTTGTACACACACAGTTGTCCTTAGGGCCTTTCCTCTTCTCACCTAGAAACAGAAAATGGGATGTATATTGGTTTCCAACCTGCTGTCTACATTAGAATTGGAGACGGGGCCTGGATCCTTGTGGACTGAGCTTCCTCTCCAACTCATCACCAACAGCATCTTGACAAAGAAAGACCCAGAACAGGGCAGGCCCTGTCAGGGATGCTTCTGCCAACAAAGAAACGGCACAGAATCAAACGGGACGATGTGCTGTTTGTTTAAACAGTACCAAAGTGCATTCTTCAGTGTATGTTTGCCTGCTTGAGGAGAGGCCCAAGTTGAGCACATAGTAAAGCAAACTCATGAAAGTGAATATTCTGTTTCTAGTCAAAGTCTTAACCTCTAGAGCGCAATCGCAGGCAAATCTGGGCTGAGACTAGGTGTGTTTGATTTTTGGAGCTATCTTTGCTCTGAGAGATGCCCCACTTTGGAATGTCTTGTTTTGGCATTCAGAATGGTGGGAGAAATTAGGAGGCGAGATGGGGTTTCCCTGGTGTGCTGTGTCTGAGGTCTAAGTTAAGAATGGTCTGTTCAACCATTCTGACTCCTAATGAAGGCATAAGAGTCTGAGAAAAGAACGGATGTACAGGATGAGACTCTCCTTGCATATTGGGGCTATACTCAAAACATCTGATTTTTAAAATACCGGCTTTGGAAGCACTGCTCAAGAATTCATCAAAATCCCCTTGGTGTCCATTTCTCATCAAACACGGAACAAATGTATCGCTGTCCCATCTAAATGTGTAAAACCAATTTGAAGGACTGATGCAAGACATGCTGTACGTGGTAAACCAGCACTTAAGGGATCTTTGAAATCTGGCCCAAGACTCTTCCAAAAGACTGTCTTTAAAATGATTTGCAAGAAACAAGGCAGCTGCATGGAGGTATACAAACAGTATGATTGTTCTTTGGCCTCTGAGGGAACAGAAAATGTCCTACATATTGCACTCATGGATTCCGATAGCCTGGTGTGGTGAAGGGGGTGCCCTCATTTACAGATGGGAAACTCTGGCCCTAACATAGCCTGAAAGTTGGGTCCTCTGACTGCAAAGCCACTGATTGCTTTTCCTGTTGCCCTAGCTCAGTCAGCTCACTGTGCTGCCATCCCCCCGCTCTGGTCTTGGCTAACTCTAAGGTTCCAGTTGCTTTCTGGGTTGGATCTTCTGGACTGGGCCTGCCAGGGATAGAGAGACCAGAATCTTCCCTCTGCACCCACCATAGGGGTGGGAGGTATCCTGCAGCAGAAAGCACTGTGAGACACAGTCTGCATCTGAATCAGTTCTCAGTTCCCTCTCCTGCGGCCATATCCAGCTCCCAGGGAGTTACTGGCATCTTGGATAAGTGGCTAGGAGAACAGGATGGCCCTACCTAGTTTTGGAGAATTAGTGGTGGGAGAAATTATTTCTTCTGGTTTGCTCACTAGGAGGTTGGAGAAGGCGCAGAAGAGTGTGGCAGCCAGCTTCCCATCTGCTTATGAAGAAGGGAGGGCGGTGCTGGGTGAAAGCAGCCCACGGGGTCGAAGCCTCTAGTGGCAGATGTGCTGGGGAGAGTGAGTGTGCCGGCAGCAGGGAGGGCGGATGCCGCCCAAAAGGCTTTCCTGATTAGTTATGAGTTCATGTTCGTTTGACAATTCTAGTCAAAGGCTTTACTCATTGAGATGAGGACTAGTTCGTGTCTCTTCAAAAAAGGACAAAACTCAGGAAACCAAGCAACTGAAACCTGCTCACACAAGAGCCCTCAGAGTGTGTTTTTAACACCAGAAGGACCCACAGAGATTGCAAACCCCATTGTCACTGTGGGTAAGGCTAAATGACCTGCCCTTTATCATATAGCAAATAAGAGGGTTAAAAATCGAACCCTGGTAATGTATTAAGTCCAGATCACTCTGGAGACAGAAAAGAATGGACACATTTGGAAAGTGCTTGTATGGCTTCCAGAGATGCAGCAATTCGCCTGCACGGGAGGGCGGGTGGGTAGACGTTGTGAGACCCTGCCTCTCATACTTCAAACAGGCACTAGGAGAGGAACTGATTTATTCAGATGCCATCTTAGGTGGAGTAACTGAGAACGTTAAAGAGCGTTCGGCCCGGATAGGTGTCGCCTCTCCGGGATGTTCTCACGTTGGTGGAGGGCTCTGGCCTGGCCTGGCGGAGGGAGCCGATACACTCCTGAGCAAACAGCAGCGCTGGGTGTACCGAGGGACTTAGGCAGACAGCTCAGCCCAGTGGCTAGAACTGCCTGGTAGCTTTACCAACAAAGCAAGGGACAGCCTTTGGAGGGAGGGAGTTCCCCGTCCGCAAGGGTGCAAGCAGGAGCTGAACGATCGGTTAGGGGGACCGCAAGAGGCTTCCGGTCTCGAGGCCGGGATAGGCTGTTCCCAGGAGCCTTTCAGGCCAGAGAGCCTATGGCTGGTAAGTGTTGCCAGCTGCAAAGTGCAATCCCGTTCTCTAGGCCTGGAGCCCAGCATGGCTTACAGGGTCACCGTGGGGGCGGATTCTCCTCCTCACGTTAGGGGAAGGGTGGTTTGGGGCCCCAGGAGATCCAAGTGGTGAGTCAGCAACACACCCTGCCTGCGAGTGTCACTGTCAGGGAAGCCCGTACCACGTGTACCCGTCCAGGTGCCTGTGTCGCTGTGATGTAACTGACGCTGTAACTACATGTGCGGCCGCGTGGCTGTGTGTGTGACTTGTGGGAATGCAGATGTGTGCGTCTGCTGTGACCACAGCTGGCTGTAGAGCGGACGCTGGCCACGTGTGGGAGACTGCGTGGCCAAGTAGGAGTGTGAGCAGGCGTTTCTGTGCCCTAACAGCCTCAGTCGCGATGAGCAGACACGCCACCAGGCTTCTGTCAGACCCACGGCTGCAAGGCAAGATTCTAGCTCAAAGATCACCTTAATGGCAACTGAAGTTGGAGGGGTCTGTGCCTTGCTGAGGGTCCTTAATCCTTGTGCCACTCATTCCTGGGCCCTGGGAACTGCATGCCTGCCCCCGGGTCTGAATGCTACAACCCCCAGGAGAGTGGCCTTAGGCGCAGAGGGAGACCATTCCCAAATGCGCATCTCTGGAATTCAGTCCCAGTGGCCTCCTCTAGATCCAGCTCTGTAGCAGGCGCTGATTCTTGGACAGTCACAAAATGGGGCAACCCGACAGGCTGCCTTGGCCAGAACTGGAGCCCAGGCTGACCTTGTACAGCCCCAGGATCCGTTCCTGAGCCACAGTGTTTGTATATGGGACCTCAGCTGGTATCCCGGATTAGAGGACCTTAGGACACCACAACTGTCTCAACTTTGTGGCCATCGCCATCTGGTAAGGGAATTCCCGATCCTCTCTTCTTCCTCCTCTCCATTTGCCCTCATCATGGGAAAAGCTGCCCAACAAAATAAAGCCCCTTTTCTGGGGCCTGGAGGGCTCAGTTTTGCCCCCTACCCCAGCAACATGCACACTTTGTAGGCTGTGGATGGGTTGGTTCAATTCTCTGAGCTTTAGAGTCTGTGCTGCTTTTCTGTTCCATCAACCCCCTTGTTTTCTGTCCCAGTGCTCATCACAGCTCTGTTGGACAGGTGCGACTCAGGCAGGTTTCCCAAAGGATGTGTGCATCAGCCGGGATCCTTGTCTAGCCTGGGAGGCGGGCCCGATCTACAAGAAAACATGCGGGCTACCTTGCTCTATGCACCTACTCTTTATTGCTGCTGGGCCAGGTGCTGGGTCCTGCCCAGCCTGGGGAGGGGAGATCCTGACCAGTTCCCCACTCTCTGTGGCCAGCAGGCAAGGCCAAGCCAAGGTCTGAGGCCTGCACCTGGCCCACCTGGCCCCAAGGCGCGGTCCAGGGCACGGAGCCCTGGGAGGGCGTTGGGCACAGGCGGGGCAGTGCGCATGGCCCTGTGCACAGCCCTTAGCTTTTCGAGTCGCTGGCCATGGGCCCCTGGCAGAACTCATCCATGAACTCGAGGAAGCGGCCAAACCTAGGCTGGCCCTCGCTCAGCGCTGGGCGGCCCGGGGGCGGCGCTGTGGCCCTGAACACCGTCCGCAGCGAGCAGCGCACCAGCTGCCGGTAGCGGGCCTGGAACTCCTTCAGCAGCCGCTTGGCCTCCAAGTATTGCTTCTGGTTCACCAGCCGCCGCTCAGTCCGCTGGTGCAGGACAGCTCCTGCAGGGAGAGAAGGCCGAGGGGCACCAAACTCGCTCTGGGGCCCCCTAGCCCAAAGCAGTAGGGACTGTGTCCAGAGTGCCCCCACCCCCAAAAAGTGGGATGGAGTGAAAGGAGGATGCTACGGGGACTGAGAATGGCCTCCCCAGCTCCGGGCAGTAAGAAACCCGCTGATTCTACCTCAAGCATTAGTTCTGGTCTGTAACATGCTGTGTGACTCTAGGCAACTCCCTGCCTCACTCCAGGCAGGCCTCAGCTTCTCCATCCGCAGAGGGGGCAGGGCAGGGGCAGACGCCAAGGGCCCTCAGCATCCTCCCGGCAGATGAGCGAACTTCTCTCTGTCTCGGGTTCTGGCCGCTGAAGACGGGGACAGGGACGGGGATGGGGGCGGGCAGAGCTGTACCTAGTGGAGCCTCTGTAATGTTCTGGGGATCCCGCATGCGAACGAGGAGGTCATCCAGCAGCTGGGCTCTAGTCTTCCGTGGCGGTGGAACGGGGATCCTCTGGGCCTGACGCAAGGTAAGAGGAGCCTGTCACCCCAGTCCGGTGCTCAGCCTCTCCGGGCCATACCTCATACAGACGCAGCAACACGCAGGAGAGCACTTGGGGGCACTGGGAAAGCACAGCCCTCAGAAGGCCGTGAGGTGACAGCCACGGCTCTACCTGGGGGATCCCGAGGAGCCAGTCGCACACGCAACCAGGTGGGGTTGACCCGCATACCCGTTTCTCCTTGGGGACGTAGTGTTTCTGAAGCGCGTCCAGCCTGGGCTTGGAAGAGCGGCCCCGCAGGGGGCACTTCAGCATGCGCTGCAGGGCCTGCGCGTTCTTCTGGATTCCTAAGGCAAAAAGGCAAGGGTTGGGGCAAGGTACTCTTCTTCCATCTGCTGGATGCCTCCCCAGTTTTCTCATTCCCCAGCAGCCCTGGGTGAAAGGATTTGAGAGGCCCCAAGAGGAACACACTGCCCCCATCTCTCCCTGATCTGCTGCAGTGCCAGAACCTCCATCATTCATTCAGTGAATACTCGTCCCCTGGGTGCATGGATCCTAATGGAAAAATAGCACTAGAATGGGGAAAGGGACTGGCCGCAATGTAACCCCATTAAACACAGTGGGTTACACTGCAGGGACTGACCCCCAAGAGAGCATAGCTGAGTGCCAGTTCCTTTGAAAGCACAAGTATTGTTAACACATCAGTCTGAAATCAGGGGCTCAGAGGGAGCACTGCCTCCCTTGCCTCAAACCAGAGAGAGAGGATTGGGGATGTTCAATCTGGGGCTCAGCTGGGCTGGGAAGGAGCTCAGGAATCTGGCCAGTCTGGGTAGCTGTTCATCAAACCCTTCCTGGAGACACTTTTCCAGCCAGAGCAGCTAGGCCTAGACTGGCTGGAATCTCGGAACAGCTGTGGCGCCTCAAAATCCACTGAAGGCCCAGGCCAGGGGTCCTGATATGGGAGGCTCCAAACCAGGACACCTTCAGGAGCCCTTTGACAAAGGACAGCATCCTGGTCTGGAAGTGAGGCATGCCACCAGCCTTAGCTTTGCCCTGACTTGCTCTGGGCTGTGGAGAGGGCCCCCGTCTTGGAGCCATTCTCCTCACATACCCTTTGGCTCAATAAAGGCTGGATCAGGCTTGGCTGTCAGCAGCTCCTCATAGCCATGGTACTTGCTGGGGAGGGAGGCAGTCGGGAGCTTCCTCCAAGCCCTCTTTACCTCTCTGGGAGCTGTGCGGGGTGGTCTTTGCTCTTCCTCCCTCATGGATGAATCATCCCTCTGGAGGATGGAGGAAGGCAGCTCAGCCACCTGTGCCCAAAAGAAAACCAGCTTCCATTAACATGTCTAAGCCTCAGCTCTGTGCGGGTCCCCACCCTGGGCCCGTAAGGGCAAGAACCAAGACCGGGGTGAGAGGAGGCAGCCATGCAAGCAGACAGTGATTGTGCACCTTGGTAAGTGCCAGAGGAGAAGGGAGCACAAAGGTTCTGGGTGAGCCCAGGAAGCCCTCACCCCGCCTGCCTGTGGGGCTCGGAAGCTTCCTGGAGGAAGTGAGGCCTTAACCTGCACAAAGTCTTGAAGAAGCAGGACGGCCCCATCCAAAGGCAGGGATGGGGAGAGGGGTGGGCTACAAGTGCTGGGGAGAGAGGCCTGCTGCGGGCCAGGAAGAGCAGGGGCCGAGCCACCCGTGTAAGACCCGGCAAGGTGGTTCTGGGGGTACTCTAAGTTGGTATCTTTGGGGTGTACTGTGAAGAGATGGGTGACTGGAGCAGTAAGCAGGCCTCAGATCAGTAAGGACTTTTAAAAGCCAACCTGAGGGTGTTTCTTTTGTTTTTGTTTGTATTTTCTTTATCCTCACGGCGATGGCAAAGCCACAGAGGAGTTTTAAGGGGGTGAGTGACCACTGTCTGAACTCACATTTTTAGCCTACCCTAAGGGCTTTATAAGAAACATATTCATGAGACCTGTATTTCATGTAGGGATGTTATTTATACACTTCATGAAAGCTTGTGGCTAAGAAGAAATAGAAAATCTGAACAGATCTGTAACAAGTAGAGATCTCAACAATTCTCACAAAGAAGCCAAGGGCCAGATGGCTTCACAAGTGAATTCTACTAAGCATTTAAAGAAAAATTAACACCAATCCTTCACGAACTCTTCCAAAAATTAGAAAGGGGAACACTCCCAGCTCATTCTCTCAGTTATTATCCTGAAACCAAAACTAAGGAAAGACATCACAGAAGGACAATACAGACCAATATCCCTATGAACATAAACACAAAAATCCTCAAAAAATATTAGCAAACTAAATTGACAACCTATAAAAAGGATTATATACCATGATCAAGTGGGACTTATTGCAGGTAGACAAGCTTGCTTAAACATCTGGAAATCAATTAATGTGACACACCAATAGATAGAGCACGAAAGCCACATGATCATTTCAGTACACACAGAAAAAGTATTTGGCAAAATCTAACACCCCGCCGTGACAAAAAAAACCCACTCAACTAGGGATAGAAACTTCCTTGACCAGGAAAAAAGGACATTTATGAAAAACCCACAACTAACATCAGAATTAATGGTGAAAGACTGAAAGCTTTCTCCCTGAGATCAGGAATAAGACATGTTTGCTCTTTCTGCTTCTATTCCACACTGCACTGGAGGTCACAGCCTGGGCAATCTGGCAAGGGGAAGAAAAGCTTTTCCCATCACGGTGACTCCCAGTTGATTGTATTCCTTTGGCTCCTAGGAAGCCCAGAATTGCATTTTGGCAATATACCTCTGTAACGAGAGCAGCAGGGCAGATGAGCAGGTTAGAGTGACAGAGACCTTATTTCCTTTCCTGTCCATATTTTCCTTTCATCCAACTTTCTCAAGCTCATTTTATTTTTTTCAAGCTCATTTTTAAATATTTACTTATACTCTGCTTTGTTCTAAAAGGTTCTGATAGAGTTCATAAAGACAAGTTTTATACCGTATAAATGTGTATGTCACTATAAGTCATCTGTGGAATAAGGGATGGATGGAGTCAGGCATAAATGTATGCATGTGCATCTTGGAAAGATCTGGCAGACTGGAGGCATGAGATGGGAGGTGGGGAGCTGAGGAAAGGCAGTGGTACAAGAATAATGCTCGCGGGGCCCTACCAGCTCCTCCAGCCTCCTATTGCCCTTTTCCTATGTGTCACCTGTCTGCCGCCCAGACACTGAACCATCTGTGGTTTCTGCACATGCCACTTTAATTTCTGTCCTCTGTAGCCTGCTTCATGCTGTTTGCTCGGCGCAGGATGCCCTTCTGCCCATGTTTTCACCTTGTCACTGCCTACTCAGCCTGCAAAGTTCAGTTCATTGGAACCTCTTTCAGGAGCCCTCCTGGTCTGGGCAGAGGATCCTTCTTTCCCCCAGGCTCCCAGCGCCTGGGTTTCCCTTAGTCTCGGCACTGACTGCATGCATTGTTCCTGCACTCTCCCTTCAGACTGAGGACATCTCGAAGGCAGACCTTTGTCTTGGCCATCTGTATTCCCAGGATTCAGAGGCAGCATCAAAAGTGATGTGACCTTATACAGATAGGCAGAGGCAGCAGCAAACCCTTCCGAAAAACTGGTCAGAACCGTGCCCCAGCCAGACCCCAGATGCTGTCTGTGCCACAGGACCGTGACTTGTCTCCATGGGTATCCCTTCCAGGAGCCTTGGCTAGCGGAGCTTCCGGAGGGGCTTGCGGGGCCTGCCGGGGGGGGCTTCCTTCTAATTTCCGGACCTGTCTTGGACTCACTTCCGGCTGCCTACCGCAAGCCAGCTATGCCAAGGTTGTATAGGAGCCTCTGGGAGCTAGGAACAAGGCAGGGGAAGGGGGGACCAGGCACCTGGGTCAAGAATATGGACTCCATGCTCCTGGTGTCCTCGTCTGACAGGTGCTGCGGGTTGACGTGGCCAGGTCTGTTGCTGCGGTGGGACATGGTCTCTTCACTGTACACGGTGGAATCAGAGCAGATGGGAGGCAGGGGCACGAAGGTCCGGTGGGACAGGGAAAGGCCCTCCACGCCCTCGATAGGTATCTGTGACTCCAGAATACTGCTTCTGGCAGCGGAGAGCTCTTTAGTCGGCTCTGCCTCAGACTCTGGGATCTCCTTTGAGGGAGACTGGACCGTGGTCATAGGGAGGTGATGGAGAATCAGAGGCTGCTTTGGCACCTTTGGGACTTGGGTTTTCACCTGTCATGGGAGAAAGGCTAGACTGGTTTGCTTCCTAATCAGAATCTCTCCTTCCAGACCTCACTGGACTAAGGCTACTTGGTACTGTGATCAGGGTACTGGATGAGGGCTCATAGCGGGAGGGAGGGAGCCAAATCCCACTAACTGGGCATCTACAATGTGCCCTGTACATGACAGATGTTGCTTGATTTACACCTCAAACTACCCAGGAAGTAATTCTCCTTATTTTATAAAAGTGGAAACCAGGGCTCAGAGAGGTAAGATGACTTGTCCAAGGTTACAGAATTATTTGGTAGCAGAGTCTGGACTACCTGATTTCTGCCTCATTCTATATCCCTGATCATATCACTCTGGCTCTCAACAGCCTTCTTCTTCTGATCAAGGTTTAACACGGTGCCCTCGACTTTCTTCAGGGACTCCTAGGAAGACCTGGAGGAGATGGTCCTGTCCCTTATGGAAGGCAGCAGCACCAAGCCCCTTTCAGGATGCTGGTCCCTATACCTTAAATGAAGTTTCATAAGGCAAATCTCTCTCAGGGTTCAGAACCAAGGAAATAACTTCTTTCCTGTTGAAATTCTCAGCTTCCTTAACTAGCGAAAGCCCGTCATCATGGGAGAGAGGATTATGTACTTAGCATTTGGCTCACTCTGATTGTGCCCCTCTCAGGCTGGCTGATGGGAAGGAGATACTCCAATCCTTAGAGGAGGCAACAAACAAGGGGATGATGATGGAAACCTTTTGAATTTCTGCCTATTTCTGGCTTTTAATTCTGTGCTGGTCCTCTAAGGGCTCCAGACTAGAGTTTGGCTGGACAGCGACAGGCTGCAGAGGGGGTAGAAAGGGAGTAACTATACTGTAAGGCAACTGTAGAAACGGAATAAGCTGGACTGGGAATGCCCAGTCCAGCTTTTAGTTATAAGAAGGCTAAAGTTCAGGAGGGAGAAGCATTTCACAGAAATTTCTGCAATCCTTTTGATACTGTATGGCATCCCAGAAGGTAAGTCTAAGACCACTGGCTGGGGTTGGTTTTGGGGGGCAGATTGCTCTCAACATAAGGAAATGCTTCCTTATGTGTAAGAGATGTGTATTCTAGGCCTGGCAGCCATCCATGACTCCCACAGGTGGTTAAAACTTGCACAGGTATGGATTTGGGGGTTTATAACATATTTTTGTATCTGTTGCTTCATCCAGTCCTCTCAGCAGCTCAGGGAGGCTTGGAGTTGAGAAGCTGAAGCTCAGAGAGTAAAGCTCTTGCCCAGGTTCAGGCAGCTGTGGAAAGTGATGAAGCCAGGCTTATCCCCGGGTCTTCAGACTGATTTCTCCCCTACTTCTCCATAGCTCCTTCTCGGGGCCTCAGTTTCTCTGTCAAAGTTGGGGGTAGGATTCCATGACCTTCACAGCTTCTCCCTACTCTGGCAGCTGGGACCCTCTGACTGTCTTGTCCTTTCTGGGTGTATCTGTGTGTAACAGACATGGAAAGGAGAAGACAATGCTAGTACTACAGACCTAACAGAAGGAATCCATGATGAGTGGGGAAGGGCACTCTCTCCCCAGGTTAGTTCACATGCAGTAAAACAGGCTCCACTTCCTCCAGGCTTGGCAGGCCTTACCTTCCTCGAGTCCTTCCAAGGCATCAAAATATGATGCTTGGCCTTTACTATCTTCTTGCGAATCAAGTGGATCCCCAGCCGCTCCTGGAGGAAGCTTTTCAGCAGTGGAGGGACCCCTGGAGTCATGATGGGGAAGATTACTATTAGCAGATATTTACTGGAGGCTTACTATGTGTCCCGCACTGTTCAAACTGCCAGACATGTATTAACTTACATTAGTACATCATTATTATGTAATGAATACATCATTCTCACACCAACTGCAGGAGATAGGTACCTATATTATTCCCATTTAATAGGTGAGGAAACTGAAGCACGGAGAGGTTAAGAAATTTTCCCAAGGCAACAAGGATAGTGCAAAGCAAGGGTGAGAACTCTGCTGGTGTCACTCTAGGACCCAGGATTCTAAGATGCCTCCAAGGTGTAGCACTGAGGCAGCACCCACTGTACCAGGATGCAGCACCCATTTCTGGACACAGCCCATTTGAAACCTCGTGCGTGGCCCTTTACGTTTCTCATCCCTCTCCCCTGCTCAGCCATGCCTCCCCTGCAGGCCCCTCCCCAGCTGGGAAGTAGGAAATGAGGTCAGAACAGACCTGCTCTACAAAGCCAGGTGGCACTTAAAGATCTCATGCAGGATCTAGCTAATTCTGTGTTCCATTCCCAGCTCTGCCTCTTTCTTGTTGTGGGACCTTGGGTAGATCATGAACCTCCCTGGTCCGCAGCATCCTTCACTGAGCACGGGGACAATGACGCCTGCCTCACAAGGTTGCTGTCAGGTAAGCTGGTACACAGCAGGTGGTCAGCAACATCTGTGGTTCTCTCCGTCCCCAAATGCACCATGAACCACGTCCACCCATGACCCACAGCAGAGCCCAGGGGCTCAGCATCCATGAGGTGGGGCTGAGGGTGCCCACACTGGCCCTGGGCACCGGGGTGGGAGCACAGGTTTGTGGGCACCATACCTCGTGTATGGGCCACCAGAGGGTTGTTATGAAAGATGAGCTCGCAGAGCGACGGGAAAAGAGCTACTGGCAGGATGGCATCTTCCTTTGCGATCTGTAAGGAACACGGGGAAAAGCTTCAGGTCGGCACCGCCCCGCCTCTGCCCAAGTGCTGCCAGGCCCCACACCGCGGGGCTACATGCTTGCTAGGGAAGGGGTGGGGCCGGGGACGTGAGGCTCCTGTACTGGACTCAGTGCTGGGCAGGGTCTGCTCCTGCGATGTCACCTGCTCACACCCACAGATCAGGATCCTGTCTGAAATTCCACATCACTGTTTCACATTTGAAAGTTAAGAATTGTTTTCTCCACACTGGACATGTAGCCAAGACCAAGGAATGGAGATGTTGGTGACAAAATAGGAACAAGCACAAAGAGTCTAGAAGTTTGGCAGGGCAATGACTTTGACTTCAGCATACAATTTGTCTGGCACTTCACCTTCCTCAATGCAACCTCTACACACCCTGTCAGTCTGTCAACAGCACTCCTGATGGTCTCTTTCATTAAGGCCTGTTCTGGGCACTGAGCTGGGGATGGGCAGGGGGCAGGCAGTCAGGGGGGACCCATTCATCTAAGGGATAAGCCGAGCCAATGATAAGGAAGACCTCCCGGCTGTCTGGGGCCCAGAGGCTGCTCTACCCCCATGAGGCCAGCCTCTGAAGGGCGAATAATACCCAATCCTTGCTGAGCAGAGTGGCTGGAACAACCTCAGGGAGGGTGTCTATTAGCAACAGAACAGTATCAGAGGGGCCACGAGTGGGGCAGTGGCCGTTCAGATGCCTGGGCACCCTGAACGTTATTGGGTTAGACTCAGGACCCGTGGAAGGCAATAAGGCCCGAGGACTGCGAGAGGGAGGGCCCTTCAGTTTGGCTTCCTCTGGAGCCCCAGTGGGTAGCACTAGATGCCCCCTGGGCAATGAACCTATCCATTATCTTTGTGTTCATCCAATCAATAAGTATTAGTGAACGCCAACATATGTCAAGCACTAGGTTGGAAATGAGCAAAACCGCTAGAACTCCTGCCCTCAAGGAGTGCTGCCTGGGGGGACACAGGCACTGAAGCCGTAACAGGAAGGATGGGAGCTCTGCAGCTGTAATCAGCGCCATGAGAGAGGGCGTGGGAAGTCCTTCCCTGTCTCCCTGGTCCACGCAGGGAGATAGGGAAGGCTTCCCTGAGATTTGAAGGGTGAGGAGGAGGTAGGGACAGAGCGCACAGCATAGAAACCTCTGTATTAACCAAAACCGTTCTCTCTACTTTCTGGGCACACAGCCAGACTGTCTTTGTGCCTCCTAGGCAACTAGATGTGCTCATATGACTCAGGTCATATGCAACAAGGTAGAAGGGACCATTTCTGGGCACAGCCCATTTGAAACCTCCTGAGTGACCCTCTACGCTGCTCACCCCCCTCCCCTGCTCCACCATCGACCTGCCAGATGCAGAGGAGCGAGTAAAATCCCCTTCAGGCCCTACGGGAGGACAGAGCCACAGCCAGAAGGGAGCTGGTCTCTGCAAGATCACATGGGAGGCCCCCAGCCCACCTGGAATACCCACAGTGGATTTTGTGAAAGCAAGAAATAGACTTCTACTGAGGGAGGTCCCTGGGAATTGAAAGTGTGTGGCAGCAGCTCACGGTGCGTGCCCCACCCACTGCAGAGAGGAAGTGCCTCATGGGAGAACCATGCAAGAAGGGCCTCACAGTGAGGAGGAGGAAAGCCAGCTGGGGGGTGGAAAGAAGGCCACTTTGATTAACAGCAGAGAGAAAATGAGGCTAGAGATGCAAGTCAGGGCCAGACAAAAGCTAGAAAGATCTTGGTCCCTGGGGACCTAATACGTGAATTTTCAGAAATATGAGGACCCACATATGACCAGATTTGGTCACAGATTAGATATGCGCGGTGAGGAGGGACATAAAGGAGAGAGAAACGTTAAGGACGACAGCCAGATTTTGGCGTGATGGAGCTCTTCTCTAAGATCCGGGGCGATGGAAGACCTTCAAATTTGAAGATCATTAATTCACTTTGGATACATGTACTTTGGAGGTACCTTTGAGACCTCCCAGTAGAGATTCAGGTAGGCAGTGGATACACTGGTCTGGAGTATGCAGGATACTGGTTCTGTGTTGGAATTATAAATTTGTGAGCCACCGTTCGTGGGCCAGTGGGTATATGAAGGCATCTCAGGGGGAGAGTCCAGAGTGAGAGGTGAGGGACGAGGCGTGGGCCTTGAGCAGCTGGAACATTTGGTCATCGAGACCAGGACTTGGCACAGTTTTTCTGTCAAGGACCAGACAGTAAACGTTTTAGGCTTTACTGGCCATACCCGCTGTGTTGCAACTACTCCACTGGGCCGCTGTAGCACAGAAACTGCCAGAGACAACTCGTAAGTAAGTGTGATGGCTCTTTTCCAATAAAACTTTAGTGATGGACTCTGAAATTTGAATTTCATATCATTTTAATGTGTCATGAAGGATTATCCGTCTTTTGATTTTTCAACCATTTAAAAATCTAAGAATCAGTCTTAGCTTGAAGGCCATACAAAAACCAAGGTCGGCAGATAATGCCTGTGGGCCAAATCCATCCCCCGCCATCTGTTTAATACAGTTTCATCAGATCACTGCCGTGCTCATCCATTTACACATTGTCCTCTGTGCTACAAGGACACGATTGAGTAGTAGTGACAGAGTAATGTATTTATCTGGCCCTTTATAGAAAACATTTGCTGACTTTTTATCTAGACTCTAGGGAAGGAGGGAAGGAGGATGAACCTACAAAGAAGTCTAATATGTGTTGATAAATAACTATAAAATGGTGGCTAAGGAGGGTGCAGAGTCTTTTTTTTTTTTTTTTTTGGGTGCAGAGTCTCTTATATACAAATCAGGTGGTCAAGAAGCACGCACAACAGAATAGGGGAGGGAGAATTAAATTTAATTTTGTCAGGATGCAAAATTCTATCCATCCAAATCAGGCAACTAAAGAGTTGAAGAAAGTTACAATTAAAACTGATAGAAAGTTGAAAGATACCCATGGCACGGATGTCATATTTTCTGTGAAATTAAGTCCCAGCTGAAGATATGGACTTAGGATTCTGGCTGAGGTAGTGAGGAAAATCTGGCCATCATGTTAGCCTATCCCTGTAAAGTGAGTTGAATGCCACTGATAATAAATTTAGGGTCCAATGACAACTTAGTATTTCTGTCCAATTTAATTGGGTTAAGGCAAATACAACTTAATCTGTCAAATTTATGAACTAAGTAAATATTAGTTAAAGGTTGAATGAAAGTGATTATTTTACTTTTTTTTTTTAGAGAGAGAGGGAGAGTGTGAGCAGGGGGAGGGGCAGAGGGAGAGGTAGATAGAAAATCTTTTTTTTTTAAGATTTATTTATTTATTTGAGAGAGAGAGAGACCATGTGTATGCACACAAGCTGGGGGAGGGACAGAGAGAGGGGGGAGAGAGAGAGAGTCCTCAAGCAGACTTCCTGCTGAGTGTAGAGCCCAATGCAGGGCTCGATCCCAGGACTCTGAGATCATGACCTGAGCTGAAATCACAATTCGGATGCTTAACTGACTGAGCTACCCAGGTACCCTGAGATAGAGAATCTTAAGCAGGCTGCAGGCCCTGACATGGGCTTGATCTCAGGATCCTGAGAGCATGACCTAAGCCAAAATCAAGAGTCGGACCGTCAATCGACAGAGCCACCCAGGCACCCCATTGATTTTACTTTTGACACAAAACTTACTAGATTTCTGAGTGGATATTCTAGACATTTAAGTTCTGTTTGAACACAGAATTGGTTTTAAAATTTGTAACTTTAATAAACTGAATATTAATTTCAACACAGGTAGCATGAGTATTCCTTGATGTGATCAAAACATCATTCATTCATCAAACAAACTTACTGAGTACCTATCATGTATCAGGTGCTGTTCCAGATGATGAGGATATAGTTATAAGCAAAACAAAGTCCTACTCTCAAATAAACCTACATTCTGGCAGTAGACAACTGACAATAAAGAAAAAGATATATATGTTAGGTGATAACTGTCATAAAGAAAAATATAATTTAAAAACTCAAGTAAGCATATAGAAAAATGGAGAGTAGGGACGCCTGGGTGGCTCAGTTGGTTAAGCGTCTGCCTTTGGCTCAGGTCATGATCCCAGGGTCCTGGTATCGAGCCCCACATCGGGCTCCCTGCTCAGCGGGGAGCCTGCTTCTCCTTCTCCCTTGGCCTGTCTCCCCCGCTCATGCTCTCTCTCTCTCTGAAATAAATAAATAAAATTTAAAAAAAAAATGGAAAGTATTGCTCCCCTCCTAACAACAAGAAAAAAGAATAACTATAACATCATAACTTTTCTTGCATCTCCAAGAGAGCTAAGGTCTCAGGGCAACCATCTGGACTGGAATCTAAGGAAAGATGGGCACCTCCAAGGAGCGATGGGCCATGGACACTGGCTCACATGTGGCAGAACATGGGAGGAAGAGATGGCAAGTGCCATATAAGCAACTAGGAAGAAATGAGCTAAACATTTTAATGAGCCACTAAAGGCTAAGTGTGGGCCTCTTAGAGTAGAAGAGAACTCTCAAGAGTTGCAGAGAGAAGGAGAATTCATGGCCATTTGTGCGCAAAAGCCTGGACCCAGGGAGCAAGACTGGAGAAAGCCATCCCTGAGGCGTAGGCCTGGAGGAGAAGAGCCCCTGCCACTATCAGAAAGGCAGGAAGCCTTGCCACCCCTCTCCCTAGAGAACAAAAGCCTTAAGTTTCTGAGGAAGGTCAGCAAACCCTGTCAGGCCCATGGCCCTGCATCTGGGGGAGGGAAAAAATTAAAACCTTCTGCTCCTGGGGTAGGGGCAGGAAACCAACCTAGGCCTACTGCCTGAGAGGTCTCTGACTGCTTGCGGAGGGGTAGGACCACTGAGAAGGCCCATCCTTGAGACACAGGAACCCAGGGCCTACTTAAGAGTGGGGTTGGACCCTCCCTTTGGCCCTCTACCACCAGACAAGCGAGTGCTAAGTAACAAGCAAAAGCAGTCTCCTGCTTGGAGAGAGGAACACGAGTGTGGAGATAAACCCTTGTGAAGTGTAGGAGCATGGGGAAGGCTGCACCCCGAGGACAGAGCAGGAACACAGAGAAAAACGCTCTGGCACCCCAGCAAGAACCAATTATATGCTGTCCCCAAGAGATGGACTTGAAATACAAAGCTATAAAGAGGTTGAAAGTAAAAGGATAGAAAGAGACTATGCAAACAGCAAGCATAAGAATCTATATTGAAATCAGACAAGACAGGGGCACCTGGGTGGCTCAGATGGTTAAGCATCTGCCTTCGGCTCAGGTCACGATCCCAGAGTTCTGGGATCAAGCCCCACATTGGGCTCCTGGCTCAGCAGGGAGCCTGCTTCTTCTTCTCCCTCTGCTTCTCTCTCTGCTCATGCTCTCTCTCTCTATCTCTGTGTCTCAAATGAATAAATAAAATCTTTTAAAAAAAATCAGATAAGACAGATATCAAGACAAGAAATTTTGTTCAAGGCACAGGGAGACAAGTCAAAATAATAACACATCAGGTAGCTATAAAAATTCTAGGTGTTTATGTACCTGATAGTAAAACTTCAAAACACATGCAGCAAAAACTGACAGAACTAAAGGGAGAAATAAACAGATCCACAGTCATGACTGGGGATGTTAACACGCTGCTCTCGATAACTGGTAGAACAAAGAGACAAATAGTACAGAAATGATCTGAGTTATACTACCAACCACCTTAACTTAATTGATATTTATAGAACACTATTCCTCAAAGCTGCAGAATACACATTTTTTTCTAAGTGCACACATAACATTCACTAAGATAGAATATAGGATGGGACATAAAATAAGTTTCAGTAGATGTCAGAAGAATGAAATCTTACAGGTTATGTTATTTGATCACAACAGAATTAAAGTAGAAATAATAAGTATAAGACATCTAGAAGATCTCCATATATTTGGAAATGAAGCATTTCACTTATCTAAACAATGCAAGAGTAAAAGAAGAAACCACAAGAATTTAAAAAGTTTAAAAGAATAAAAATAAACACACAAATCATAATTTGTAGGATGCAGCTGAAACAGTGCTTAGAGAAAAAGTTATAGCTTTATATGCTTATATTAAAGAATAAAAAGGTCTAAATCAATTATCTAAAATTACACTATTTAGGACACTAGAAAGAGAGGAACAAATTAAACTCGTGAGTAGGACAGAAATCAAGTTAGGAGCAGAAATCGATGAAATGGGAATACAGATAGGTAGAGAAATCTAATGAAACCAGCAGTTACTTTTTTCAATAAAAGACACAAGTGACCAATTTCAAGAATCAAAGAGGGACCCATAATACATCTATGGTCCACTGATTATTGACAAGGGTGAGATGACCATTCAATGGGGGAAAGAGCAGTCTTTCTGATCAATGGTGTTGAGGAAACTGCATATCCACATATAAAAGAATGAAGGTGGACCCTGTCTCACACCACATATGAAGATAAACTCAAAATGGATCAAAGATCTGAGTGTCAAAGCTAAACTGATAAAACTCTTAGGAAGGAAACACTTGAGGAGTTTGGCTATACCAACTGCTTGCCTTAGAAGGAATGTAAGCAGAGTACCTTAAAAGTTGCCTACATTTCAGACTTGAGTAGAGCTCAGTTGGTGGCGTTTACAGAAGTCAAATAGTACATGGCTATTGGAAAAATATGCTAACATAAAACATGAAGGAAAAACACATTAAATTTGTCCCATGGACTTTACATCTGCTGTTCCCATAGGCTAGAACATTTCCCACTTCACTCTTCTCTCACACTTCACCTCACTACACTCACAAAACCACTCTCTTGAGAACCTTCCTTGATCCCAAATATTAGGTTAGACTGCCCCTGTCATATACTTCATAGCACTCTGAGTTTATTCCTAACACTAAGCATGCTTATATTGAGACCACTTGTCCTGTACCAGTCTTCCCTAGGGGTGACAAGCTCCAAAAAGCAAGAGGCCCGATCTTTCTTTGCACAGCTGTGTACCTAGTATGCAGCATAGAGTCTGGCACATGGTATTAAATAAATATCTGTGACTGAATGGATGGACTCCTGCCTTGGTCTGCACTCTCTCCACTTCCCCCACCCTGAGAACTCCTGAGCCCACATATCTGTAATGGGGAGTTATAGGGCTGGCCTTCAGGCCAGAGCAGATTGCATCCCACCCTCCCATCTGTGCCCCTGAGGAAATAGGAAGAGAAGCAGAAGAGTCACCTTGTTGTAGGCCAGGCTAAGGTACCTCAGCTCTGGAAAGGGCGGGGCCAGCGTCTGGTTCCTGGCCTTCAGTGACTTCACGGGAAGAATCTCGAATATGGGAGGAAGTGCACATACCTTGGTTGCCTTAGAAGGAAAAAAGGTCTATTGTCAAAGTGTCCTGATGATAAGAAGCTGAATGCTGTCAAGGACCAAGAGACCTTTCCTATGAAGGGTAATGGAAAGAAGTGACCATTCTAGAAAGGCTTGGCCAAAAGAGACATCTAGGGTCATAACGGGAGATGTTACCAAGGGCCCAGAGTTCTGGTTCCAAGTTCTCTGAGGTCACATGATGTGCTAATTCTCCGTCACCCAAAGTTCAGGCTTCAAGTGCTCTGATACCAAATGATAATATAGCAGTGATGTAGACATCAGAAGTTCTCTGCCCCCACCTCCCACTTTCTGCCCTACAGCTTATCCTGAAATGGCCGTTCTCTACAGTTGGGCTAAAATTTCTCCAACAGGCAAAAGGACAGTGCTTGCATTTTATTTTTTTAAAAAAGATTTTTAAATTTTTAAGTCATCTTCACACCCAACGTGGGATTGAACTCACAACCCTGAGATCAAGGGCCCCAGCACACTCTTCCGGCTGAGCGGGTGCTTGCATTTTAAAGGGGACTTTTCCTAGTGGGGAGATGGAGAGCACGAGCGACCTGAGCCTTGAGTACCTGGTCTGATGGGCTACAATGATCCTACAATGGAGGCTCTTCATTCCAGGACAAATCAATAGCTAAGTCCTGGATGACTTCAAGCAGGCCTTCAGGCCTGAGTGTGACCTGGTGCACCCGTGTCACTTGTAGGGTCGTGGTTTTTCAGCACAACCCAGTCTGCCTCAGGATCAACATGTTTAATTAAGCAGAAAACAGAAGGTACTGGGTTAATCATGCCTGACTCGGTTCACTCACTGATTCCTTGAGTTAGATGGGACTAGAGGAAATTACAGGCTGAGATGCTGGGCTAATAACTGGGTTCAAATGAACTAGATTCTGTTCTAAGCTCCATTAATTGCTGTGTAATCTTGAGCAAGTCACTTAAATTTCACTTGTTCATTCAGTGAACAGTAGCGGAGTGCCTACTCAGAGCCAAGTATTTCGTGCCCTCCTAGGGTCCAACTCGTACACCCACACAAGTGGGACAGGTGAGTCATGGGTGAGAGTAAAACGAAAACCAGTGATGGTGCTTGCGCATGTCTGTGACTCTCCCCTCCAGGTGATCCAAATGCAATGTGCCAGAGGCCACAGTGGAAAGCAGTGGCAGTCTGGTAAGGCATTCTCCTCCACCGTGCAATTCCCTGTCTGGAGCATGGCTGTGTGACCTGAAGGGGGCAAGTCAGACTGCCGCACAGAAAAGAAAGAGCCAGAGAGTGAGGCTCAGGGGTATCTAGCACTGTCCAGGGGCATGAGTGTCCTGCCCTGAAGGCATGAGGGATACACACCTGACTTCTACAGAAAGAGGCCACTATAAGTCTCCACCATCTAACACACTGTCTCCATGCTCAGATGCCAGAGCGTTGGGATCTGAGCACTGAACAACCTACCAATTATCTTTGAATTTTGTGGCCGACTGTTTACCGGCCCACAGGCCCCTCTATGCCGTATGTATGCCCTTCGGCAGTGTGACCTTGGTGCTCCTCTCATTCAGAGGCGGAGTCTGTATCTCTATGCCCTCGAACCTAGACTGGCTGTTGTATAATAAAGAATTTGTCTGGTCTCTGTCCCAGGTTTTTGGCATTGAGCTTCCAAAACTCTTGGAACTTCCTGAGTGATAGAAATATCTTTGTTATTCATGAGCCCTGGGTTCACACTTAAGTTTATGCTAATGAGACGACTCAGGATGAGGGCTGGCCACACCTGAAAGACAACCCCACTATTAGAGAGTTGGGGTTTTGAGCCAGCCTGACCTCTGGGCTAGAGATTAAGTTCAGTCCTGTGGCCAGTGGTTCAGTCAGTCATGCCTATGTAATGAAACTCCAAAAAAAAGCTCTGGACACTGAGGCTTGAGTGAGTTTCCTGGCGGGTGAATACATCAGATGTGCTGGGAGGGTGACACACCCAGATTCCACAGTGAGAGGGCACAAAAGCTCTGCATTTGGGACCCTCCTGGACCTCACATTATTTATCTTTTCAATCGGCTGGTCCTGATTTGTACCCTTTATAGTAAAACTGTGATCATAAGGATAGTGCTTTCCTGAGTTCTATGAGTTGTTCTAGTAAATTACTGAGCCTGAGAAGGTTGTGTGAACTCCAATATTTATAGCCAGTTTGTCATAAGTGCTGACAGCTTGGGGCCCCCCAAACTTGCAGCTAGCGTCTGAAGTGAGGGCAGTCTTTTTGGGAAATGTGCCCTTCACCTGTGGGGTCTGTGCTATCTACAGGTAGCTAGCATAAGAATTGTACTGCCCTATCATACTTAATACTTGCTTTGACCAACAGAATGTGGCAGAAGGGCCACCATTTGAGTTCCAGAGCCTTACAATTCACTCTTGCCCTCTTGGAACCCTAAGGCCACCATGCTGTAAAGAAGTCCATAATAAAAAGACTCCGTATAGATGCCAAGCCATACCAGCTGTCCATGAACTCAGGCCCTAGCGAACCAGCCAGCTGCATGAATGAGCCCTGGCAAGACCAGTGGAACACCTAACCCCCCCAAATAATTGTGAGAAATAATAAATTGCTATTGTTTTAAGTCTGTAATTCTTGGGTGGGTTTGTCATGTGGCAATAGTTAATTGATATAATTTCTCACCCAGCTTTATCCGTGGGGAGGGAGTGTACTGAGCTGCCTCTCAAGGATGCAGGTTGGCTAAACGTGTACCTATACTTCTTATTGTAAATGAATAAATCAATAGTGCATCAGTCCTCGTGAGCTTGGTTAGTAAGCATCTAACCCTGAAAGAAAAACCAATTTTCTGTCCAGACAAAAATCAAGCATCTAAACCTGTGATGCCAAGGATCAGACCCTAGATGGTGGTATATTTGGCAAGGATGAGTGTAGCTTTTGGGGGCCCTTACTAGGGAGCCCCAAGGTTCCATCTTGGTGGCTGCCTCACTTCAATGCCAGCCTGATCACTTAGGGCAGCAACCATTCTGACTGCACACATCTGAGAACAGCAAAAGTGAGCTTGTGGACTGTGTGAGGTCAGGGACCTGACTGTCTAGTCCACCACTGTATGTTCATAGGCCAGCACAGTGCCAGGCACATGGTAGGTATTCGGTAAATATCTGTTCAATGAACAGGCTTCTTCAGTGTGATATATATAAATGCCCCTCATAGCTTCATTAGCTTACTTTTGTTTTTTAAAATGAATGTTCTAACTTAAGGACACAAATATAAAATAGGCAGTTCCTACCTCTGAGGTTGAAAATCCAGGGTAAGATGAGAACACAACCTCTGAAACAAAAGAGAAACAGAATAAAGTTTGATGAGTGCACTGACTGCCCCCAGAGAGGCTGGGGTCTGGGTCTCCCATCCACTGCGTACAGGAGGGTGACCCCTAGCGGGGTTCTCACTGGTCCTCATCTCTAACTCTAACTGGGAGGAGTTGGCTGTGATACCTGTCAGGTGGTAAGTGGCACTTAGAATAAAATCAAAACTCCTTGGCCAGGCCTCTGAGGTCCTGCCTGATCTGGCTCCCACCTAACTTCTCCAATCTTATCTCATGCCACCCTGTCCTTCACTCACTACATTTCAGCCACATTGACTTTCCTTCTGACTTTGCAACATGCAAGCTCTTTTAGCCTCAGTACTACTGGGTGGGCAGACAGTACTGATCAGAGAAGGCAAACCAACTGTCTTAGAAGAGAGAAATGTATATAAAAGATTTTTTGTCAAAGGATTTGAAAATACTCTTTGTTATGCGAGTAGAAATAGAATATATTAAGACAGTGAATTCAGGAGAGATAGTAAGAATAACCAGCAGCACAGTATAGTAAGGGAGAGGTTGTGGAGTGACTTCACTCTTGGCATCATCGGAATGAGATGAGCCAATAAACATCTGAGTTCAGCCATAAATCAAAGCATCTTCTTGGACTGGATCCAAGTAGTGCAGGCACTACTCACCATTGCCCTGGCTAATAGGTTATATTAGTGATATTATACTTCCACATGTTAATGATATACTGATAAAAGTTACATGTTAATGATATTAACATGTTATGTTAATTATACTGATAAAAGTTACATGAAAATGATATTATGTTAATGATATTATACTTCCACATGTTAATGATATTATACTGATAAAAGTTACATGAAAATGAAGTAAACAATAAGAGGGGTGGAGCATCACATGGCCCAAATAACTTCTCCCATGACATCCGTCTGGAAAGGACTGGAGGATGGGTTTGTACAAGGAACAAAGTAGGAATTAGCAAGAGGATGGGCCATGGTTGCAAGTGTGGCTGCTAAAGAGTGATCCTGTGGGGAGACAGGCCCTACATCTAGAAAGATGAGCCATGTATACTCTATCTGAACATATATCATCTCCCTATAATCTCAGGTTAGAAAGGTTATTGGGTACAAGTTCAAAATTTCTATGTACTAGCAACAAACAAGTGGAAATGTAATACAAAAAAGCATCACCATTGACAATAGCATTGAAAAAGACCAAATACTTAAGAACAAATCTAATGCAAGACCTCACCACTGAAGACTACAAAGCACTGATGAGAACAATTTTAAAAGACCTAAAACATGGTGGGATATATTATTTTAATGAATTAGAAAACTCAATATTGTAAAGATGTCAATTCTCTCCAAATTAGTCTATAGGATCAATACAATTCTTTTATCTTTTATTTTTATTTTTTTAGAGAGAGTGAGTGAGCGGGGGAGGGGAAGAGGGGCAGAGGACAAGGGAGAGAGAGAATCTTAAGCAGGCTCCACACCCAGCACAGAGCCCAGTCTCACAACCCTGAGATCATAACCTAAGCCAAAATCAAGAGTCGGACACTTAACTGACTGAGCCACACATGTGCCCCTGATCAATGCAGTTCTAATCAAAATCCCAGCAGGATTTTGTGTGGAAATTGACAAGTTGATTCTAAAATTTATATACAAATGCAAAGGCTTTATAATAGCTATAGCAATTTTTAAGAACAACAATGCAGCTAAGGAACTTCACTATCAGTTCTCAAAATGTGTTACAAAGCTACAGTAATTTCTTTCTTTTTTTTTTAGAGAGAGAGTGCACGTGCACGATCAGGGTGGGGGGAGGGGCAAAGGGAGAGGGAGAGAGAGAATCCCAAGCAGGCTCATGCCCAGCACAGAGCCCCATGGGGGGCTCGATCTCACGACCCTGAGATCATGACCTGAGCCGAAATCAAGAACTGGATGCTCAACCTACTGAACCACTCAAGCACCCCTAAAGCTACAATAATTTAGACACATACAGAGCCCACCTTACCATAATACCTCACTTACAACTCAGTGGGGAAAAGGATATAGTCTTTTCAACAAGTGGTATTGAGTCAATTAGATACCCATATAAAAAAGTAAACTTTGACTCTACATCATACACAAAACTTCTAGGTAGATCATAGATCAAAATATAAAAACTAAAATAAGCTTCCAGAAGAAAATATAGGAAAATATCTTCTTGGCTTGAAGCAGACCAAAAATACCTGAACAGGAAATAAAAAACACTAACCATAAAAAATTGAACTGAACTTTTATTCATCAAAATCAAGAACTTTTATTCATCAAAATTCATCATTAAGAACACGAGAAAGCAAGCTACAGACTGTGAAAAGATTTTTGTAATATACAGATCTACAAAGGACTTGTACCTAGCATATATAAAGAACTCAAGCGAATCAACAAGAAAGGACATATAACTAATTTAAATATAGACAAAAGACTTGAATAGGTACTTCCAAAAGAGGATATCAAAGTGAGCAATAAACATATGGAAGGTACTTAAGATCATTAGTCACTTAAGAAATGCAAATTAAAACCAGAATGAGAAACCACTACATACCTACCCTAAACAGGTAGTATCAAAAAGACTGACATTACCAGAGAGAGCCTAAAAGTAACATAGACCAGAAAGGAACACAGACAATATACAGTAACAGTCACCTTACAGGTAATGCAATGGCACTAAATTCATGTAAACGGGCTGAATGTCCCAATCAAAAGACACAGGCTATCAGATTGGATAAAAAAAAACAAGACCCATTGATATGCTGTCTGCAAGAGACTCATTTTAGACCCAAAGACACCCCCAGATTGAAAGTGAGGGGGTGGAAAACCATTTACTATGCTAATGGGACACC